ACCGTGGCAGCCCTGTGCGCCATGGTCGTCGCGCTATCGGCGCAGGCGAGCGTGGTGATCAGCAGCACACGGATTATCTATCCGCAGTCCCACAAGGAAGTCACCGTCAGGCTTGAAAGCAGGAACCAAGTACCGGTGCTGATCCAGACCTGGCTCGACAACGGCGACGAACATTCGACGCCAGAACTGGCCGACATCCCGTTCGTGGTCACGCCACCGATCTTTCGCATGGAGCCGGGTAAACAGCAGGTCGTACGCGTGGCTTACACCGGCGAAGAGTTGCCGCCAGCGCAGGAGAGCCTGTTTTGGTTCAACGTGCTGGAGGTGCCGGCGCAGGCGCGAGGCGTCCAGCCCAGTAACCAGCTGCAACTGGCGTTTCGCACACGGATCAAGCTGATCCTGCGTCCCCCGGGCCTGCCCCACGGTGCCGAGGCCGCGCCCGCCAAGTTGCAGTGGCGCCGCGTGTCGAGCGCCTACGGCGAGGCGGTGGAAGTGTTCAACCCGACCCCTTACCTGGTGACCTTCGAGCGCGTCGAGGTGCAAGTCGCCGGGCAACGCCATGGGTGCCAAGCCGCTGCCTCCGGGGCCGGCAATATGGTGATGCCCGGCGCTCGCACCCGCTTCGATCTGCCTGACCTCAAAGCGCCGCCTGGAGCTACGGCCAGCGTGGAATTCCAGACGCTGGACGATTTCGGGGTGAAGGTCCTCCACAACGCCAAGGTCGCCCCATGACCCTCCCTATGCCGGGAGCCGAGCAACACCTGTTTTTGGAAACGCTTAACAATGAGTGCGATCACGCCCACCGGCGTCCGCAGTGCGCCCCTGGCACGCCGTGGTTTGAGTCTGACAATGCGTAGCCTGCTGCTGGTGAGCAGCGCCGAGGCGATGGACGCCCACGGCGCCGAGTATGTGGAGTTCAACCCGGCTTTCTTTGCCGATGGCGCGGCAGGCTTGCAGGTCGATATCGCGAAATTCAGCCAGGGCAACGTCGTGTTGCCAGGCACCTACCGTTCAGAGGTGTACCTCAACGGTCAGTGGCTCGGGCGCGAGAGCGTCACGTTTATCGCCGTCCAGGGTCAGCCGTCGGCACAGCTGTGCCTGGAACGTGAGGCGTTGCAACGCTTCGGTATCGAGGTCGACAGTGCCGACCAACAAACACCCGGCCCGCGCAAACCGTTTGACCGTTGCGCCGAGATCGCCAGCTATCTACCCGGCGCCAGCAGCCAGTTCGATATCGGCGAAACGCGCCTGGACCTGCAGATCCCCCAGGTTTACCTGACGCGCCAAGCGCGTGGCTACGTCGACCCCAGGCACTGGGAAAGTGGCGTGGACGCAGCGTTCGTGCGCTACAACGCCAACACCTTTACCACTCGCACCAACGGCCGCTCGCTGGACTCCCACTACATGGGCCTGAACACCGGGCTCAACCTGGGCGATTGGCATTGGCGACATAACGGCAGCTACAGCCACAGCCTCGGCGCCGCTGGCTATCAGAGCAACGCCACCTATGTGCAGCGCGAACTGAGTCGGTGGCGATCACAACTGATGGCCGGTGAAATCCATACCCCCGGCGAACTTTTCGACAGCATTCGCCTGCGCGGCATCAGCCTGTTCAGCGATGACCGGATGCTGCCGGATTCCATGACCGGCTTCGCGCCGGTGGTGCGCGGTGTCGCCGAAACCAATGCCCGTGTCAGCGTGCGTCAACGTGGTGTGTTGCTCAGCGAAGTGTCCGTGGCGCCCGGCCCCTTTGTGCTCGACGAGTTTTTCCCGACCGGTTACGGAGGCGACCTGAGTGTGACGATCACCGAGGCCGACGGTCGCCAGCGCGCGTTTATCGTGCCGTTCGCCGCCAATGCTCACTTGCTGCGACCGGGCTACCGGCGCTACACGCTAAGTATCGGCCAGGTGGATGAGCTGGGGCTGCGCCATCCGCCCAAGTTGATGCAGGCCACTTACCAACAGGGTCTGAGCAATCTGCTGACCGGCTACACCGGCGCGATGCTGGGCGAGGACTACCGCGCCCAATTGGCAGGCGCGGCATTCAACACGCCATTGGGCGCATTGTCCGTGGACCTGACACACTCAAGCGCCGACATTCCGAAGCATGGCTCGCGCAGCGGGCACAGCGTGCAACTGCGCTACAGCAAGAATTTCGCCGACAGCGGCACCCACTTCACCCTCGGCGCTTACCGTTACTCCACCTCCGGTTTTCTGACGGCGGGCGATGCCGCGCAACTGCGCGACCATGCCCTGGACGGACGCGACCTGGACAACGTGTCACGCCTGCGCGACAGGATGGATATCAGCCTTAATCAAAGCCTGAGCCACGGCTCGGTGTATGTGACCGGTTCTTCGCAACACTACTGGAACCGTTCAGGGGGCAACCTGACCTTCAGTGCCGGCTACAGCGGCCACTGGAAAAACCTCCACTACACCCTCAGCGTTCAGCGCGGCCGTGATGTGCTGAGTGGTGAGGTCGATCAACAGCTGGATTTGACCCTGAGCCTGCCGCTGGGCAGCGGCACGCATACGCCTACTCTGACCAGTACGGCCTACCGTGGAGACCACAACAGCGGCGAGCGGATCAGCCTGGGCGGTAGTTGGGGCGAGCACAATCAACTGAGCTACGGCCTGAGCACCAGCCGCACCCAGGGCAGCGGCAACACCCAGAGTGCCGATATGAAATACCAGGCCGATTATGGCGTGTTGTCCGCCAGCTATGGCCACAGCGAGGCGTACCGCTCGACATCGCTGGGCATGACCGGCGGCCTGGTTGCGCACGCCGACGGCCTGATCTTCGCCCCGGAGCTGGGCGACACCCTGGGGATCGTCCAGGCACCCGACGCCCAGGGCGCGAGGATCAATGGCAACCACGCCGCCCACGTCGGCAAGGACGGCCAGGCCGTGGTGAGCCACCTCACGCCCTATCGACAGAACGTGGTCGAGCTGGACCCCAAGGACTTGTCCGTGGATGTCGAACTCAAGACCGCAGCGCGCAACGTCGCGCCCCGCGCCGGCTCGGTGGTGAAGCTGCAATTCGAGACGGTCAGCGGCCAAGCCTTGTTGATCACCACACAGCGCGAGGACGGCAGCCCATTGCCGTTCGGTTCGGATGTATTCGATGAAGACGGCGCCAGTGTCGGGATCGTCGGCCAAGGTGGAAAGGCGTTTGTCCGGGTCTCCCGGGCGCGGGGCAAATTGACCGTCAAGTGGGGTTCAACCGCCACTGCCACTTGCTGGTTTACCTATAACGCCGCCATCGCGGCCACGGCGCAGAACAAGCAGCGCATGCGGCATCTGAACGCTGGCCTGTGCCAGGTCGGTGCCGACCTCGCCGCGCAGCCGCCAGCGGCCGAGCGCGATGCAAGCGGCTGAACGGCATGATCACGCGCCCCTTGATACCCGGCTTCTGATAACGAGGTTGCCCATGACGCACACTGTTAGATGTTGTTTGCTCCTGCTGATAGTCGGGGCGCCGGTCACGGTGCTTGCTGAGTGTCGGCTATATCCCAACTCCGAGCACGGCCTGTCCCTACCGGACACCATCACCGTTCCCGCCAGCCTTCCCGTGGGCAGCCTGATTATCCGGCAGGCTTTCAACGGCATCGCGCCCAGCTTTGAACTCAACTGCCGTACTTCGACCCCCAGGCAGATTATCGGGCGCTTCACCGACTCGGCGATGGTGCCGGGCGCAGGCGTCACGGCGTATCACACCGGTGTGCCAGGGGTCGGCATACGCGTGCTGGTGCGTAATCACAGAGGACTGGTTTACCCCCATCAACTGCACACCTCGCCCCCGTTCAGTCAGAGCAATGCGTTGCCGCTGTACAGCAATGTCAGCGCGGAGGCGTTGTTCTTCAAGACCGGGCCCGTCACCAGCGGCACGCTGACCAGTGGAAGCCTGGTTGAAGATCGTTGGGACGGCGGCAAAGGCCGCTTTCACTTGCTGCTCAATACATCGGTGCGTTTTGTCGCCCCTACGCCTACCTGCAACCTGGACGCCGGTGACGTCAACCGCACGATCCTGTTCGAGCCGGTGCAAGTCCGTGCATTCGACACCCAGACTGTCGTTGGCGGACGGGACTTCGAGCTGACCGCGCAATGCAGCGATGCCATGAACGTCACGTTCCGTTTTTCCGGGGCTCCGGCACCGGGCAATGATCGGATCTTCGCCAACACGGGCAGCGCCGCAGGCGTTGCGCTCTGGCTGTACTCACGCCTCGGCGGCGGCGTGCAGAACATTCTCGCCAACGGCACCGAAGACACACGCACGCTGGCGGTCTCGGGCAACCGCGCCGTGCTGCCACTCGGTAGCGCTTATCACAAGAACGGCACGGTCACTCAAGGCACCTTCATCAGCACCGTGACCGTACACATCACCTATGACTGACCGATTGAGGATCATGCGATGAACATTCGCGCGCCGGCGGTTTGGCTGGCAATCACTGTGGGCGTGGCCAGCCATGGGGTTCAGGCCGCCACCACGGGGACTTTGACTTTTGTCGGCCAGATCAACGCCGGCACCTGCAACCTGGCGGCCGGCGATGAGAACCGCACCATTACCTTGCCCACCATCAAGGTCTCGGACTTCGATACGGCGGCCAGTACGGGCGCGTTTGATTTCGAGATTTCCGCCGACTGCGAGTCGGATATCAATACTGTGATTTTTCTGTTCTCCGGCACCCCTTCAACGGGGAACGCCCAACTGTTTTCCAATACCGGGACCTCGGGGGGAACAGCCCTGCAGCTCATACACCGCGGCTCCCCCGCGTATGCCATCCCCGCCAACGGCACCGTGGACCAGCGCAGCCGTAGCATCGCAACTGCCGGCAATAAAGCAGTGATGCCGCTTACGGCGGCGTACCACAAAACCGGGGAACCCCTCACCCACGGCAGTCTGGCCAGCGCCGTTACCGTTTCGATCACTTACAACTGATGGCGCTGGCGTTGTTGCCGGCAAAGATCAGCGGGTACAAAAAAACCCGACCTTCGCAGGCCGGGTATTTTTGGATGTCCCGGAAAAATCAGGACTGACTGGAAGGCGTCGGGGTAGCCGGCGTTGCAGTCGGGGTAGCGGCAGCCTGCGTCGGCGCGGAGACCGAGTTGGCTGTAGAGGCGGTGGATGCTGGAGCTGCAGGTTTGGTTGCCGCTGCTGGTTTGGCGGCCGTAGGTTTTTTGGCGGCGGCGGGCTTCTTCGCTGCGGCGGGCTTGGCAGCAGGTTTGGCGGCGGGCTTGGCCGCTGCGGTTTTCGCCGCAGGCTTGGCGGCCGGTTTCGCCGCAGCCTTAGCTGCTGGTTTGGCTGCAGGCTTGGCGGCGGCTTTGGTCGCAGGCTTGGCAGCCGCTTTGGCAGCGACCGGTTTAGCGGCGGCTTTTGCAGCCGGCTTGGCTGCTGCGGTTTTGGCCGCAGGCTTGGCCGCCGCTTTCGCCGGCGCCTTGACCGCGGTTTTTGCTGCAGGTTTGGCGGCGGCTTTCACCAATGGCTTGGCGGCAGTTTTTGCGGCCGGTTTAGCCGCTGCGGTTTTGGCCGCAGGTTTGGCGGCGGCGGTTTTCACGGGTGCCACTTTAGCGCCGGTGAGTTTTTCGATTTGCTTGGTCAGCGTGTCGACCTTGCTGTGCAACGTCTTCAGCTCCGCTTTGCTGGGTACGCCCAAGCGCGAAATGGCACTGTTGAGGCGCTTGTCGAAGGTCTCTTCCAACTTGCCCCAGGTGTCGGAAATGCTTGCCTTGGCCGAACCTGCACTGGCCTTGGCCGCATCGACTTTCTTGCCAACGGTGGTCTTGGTCAACTTCTCGGCTTTTTCGCCGTCTTTAACCAAGGTCTCGAAGTACTTGCCGCCATCACTGCTGACCTTCGAGTACACGCCTAAACCAGCAAGCCAGATCTTACGGGAGTATTTTTCAACTTCCCCGATCCACGAGCTGCCTTCTTTCTGAGTATTCTTTTTAACAGCCATCCCGTTGTCTCCTTAATGTTTACGCGCGACACGTTCGAGCAATGCCGTCAGCTCTTCGAGCTTAGCAGAGAGTGTCTCCACGTCATGTTTAGACGCAATGCCGATTCGATTCAAGGCACTTGCAACGCGAGTATCAAAAGCTTTTTCAACTTTATCCAGCTGAACTTCTACCCGACCTTTGACCGCAGTGACATTACTCTTTACTTGGTCAATCTGACTGTTGGCGGCATCAAGTTGTTCAACGGCAACTTTTTTGCCTTTACTTTCAATATCTTGACCACTCTTAACCAGCTCTTTGAAATACTCGCTGCCCTCACTGCCGACCTTCGCATAGGCCCCCAGGCCCGCCAGCCAGATCTTGCGCGCGTAGGATTTAACATCGCTCAGGGCGCGGGTTGGAGTGTCGATTTTTTTCTTCAGGATAACGTTGGCCATGGTGCACCTCACACAGAATAGGGGGGAGGAACGGCCCGCAGGAGTTGTGGGCTTGGGCACAAAGTAGGAGGAAAAATTAGAATCGGCACCCTAACCCTAAGAAGTCAGGCCAAGGCTTTGTCCAGGGCTTTTTCGATTTCGGACTTGAGGGTGCCGCTCATGGCGGACATCAATAGGCCAAGTTCCACATCGATACGCAGCGAATCGTCAGCCACAAGTACGGTGCCTTTAACCCCGGAACGCTTGAGGCTCAAGGTATCGCCAGACCATGACGACTCCAGGCCATATTTTTCCTTGAGTTTGTTCGCCAACTTGTCGGCCTTTGCCCGTGCGCCTTCTTTACCCAGGGAGTGTGCACGCTCAACGGTGATACGGGCCATTGCGATGATTCCTCTTGCAGAGACTTGAAAAATAGAGACTTGCACAACGTGAATGCGGCAAAACGTCTCGGCGCCCTTCTATCTTACCTGCAGCCTTGCCAAGACAAAGCAAGCCTTGGGGATTATCATGTGCCGCATTCTCTTTTGGTGACAGCGATATGACTGATCAGCGCAAAGGCAGCGATGCCGAACCCACCACTCACTTCGGCTTCAAGAACGTCCCGGAAAGCCAGAAAGCGGAAAAAGTCGCTGAGGTGTTCCACTCTGTAGCCGCCAAGTACGACCTGATGAACGATGTGCTTTCCGGCGGCATGCACCGCTTGTGGAAGCGCTTCACCATCGAATTGTCGGGCGTACGCCCCGGCAATCGCGTGCTGGACATCGCCGGCGGCACGGGCGACCTGGCCGCCAAGTTCTCCAAGCTCGTCGGCCCGACTGGCCAGGTGGTGCTGGCGGACATCAACGGTTCGATGCTCAAGGTCGGCCGTGACCGTCTGCTCGACAAAGGCGTGGCCGGCAATATCGAATTCGTCCAGGCCGACGCTGAAAAGCTGCCGTTCCCCGACAACCATTTCGACTGCGTGACCATCGCCTTCGGCCTGCGCAACGTGACCCATAAAGAAGACGCGATCCGCTCGATGCTGCGCGTACTCAAACCGGGTGGCCGCCTGTTGGTGCTGGAGTTCTCCAAGCCGACCAACGCGCTGATGTCCAAGGTCTACGACACCTACTCCTTTGCCTTCATGCCGCTGATGGGCAAGCTGATCACCAATGACGCCGAGAGCTACCGCTACCTGGCCGAATCGATCCGCATGCACCCCGACCAGGAAACCCTGAAGTCGATGATGGTGGAAGCCGGTTTTGACCGTGTGACCTACCACAACATGACCTCGGGCATCGTCGCCCTGCACCGCGGCATCAAGCCCTGATGCTGCTGCAAGGTCTTCTCGCCAGCGTCGAGCACGGCCTCAACCGTGTGCTGCGCCTGGACAGCACTGCCCTGGCGCGGCTCGCACACCTTAACGGCAACGTCATCGCCGTCGACTGCCGCAGCCCCGCCTTGCAGCTGTTTATCCTGCCCAGCGATGAAGGCCTGATGCTGGCGACCCATTGGGCCGCCGACGCCGACTGCACCCTGCGTGCGCCGGCATCGAGCCTGCTGCACCTTGCGCTGAGCCGCAACAAGACCGCCATCCTGCACAGCACCGAAGTTGAGCTGGAAGGCGACAGCGCGGTGCTGATGGACCTGGCCGCCGTGCTGCAGGATCTGGAACTGGACTGGGAATACGAACTCTCGCGCTGGATCGGCCCCGTCGCCACGCAGTTGATCAGCGGTCACGTGCGCAGCCGCACGCGCTGGTACCAGCAGGGATTCGCCAGCCTTAACCAGAACCTCGCCGAATACCTGAGCGAAGAATCGCGCACTCTGGTCGGGCAACGGGAAGCGCAAGCGCGCTTTCGCGAACTCGACAAGGCCAAACTCGACCTGGAACGTCTTGAGGCGCGCTTCGAGCGCCTGAGCCGTTCCCTTGATCCAAGCGATAACGCATGAAGCTGCTCGCCGTCCGCCGTTTGTTTCGTATCCAGCGCGTCGTAATCCGCTACCGTCTCGATGACCTGCTGTTCGCCCTGCCCTTGCCATGGTTCCTGCTGGCGGTGCGCTATGTACTGCCGTGGCGCTGGCTGCCCCGCAAACGGCTGGAGCTCAGCCGTGGTGCGCGCCTGCGCCTGGCATTGCAGGACCTGGGGCCGATCTTCATCAAGTTCGGGCAAATTCTCTCCACCCGCCGCGACCTGCTGCCCGAAGACATCGCCGACGAGCTGATGCTGTTGCAGGACCGCGTGCCGCCCTTCGACTCCCAACAGTCGATGGCGCTGATCGAAGAGCAACTGGGCAAAAAGATCAGCGAGGTGTTCAGGCGCTTCGACGTCGAGCCCCTGGCCTCGGCCTCCGTGGCGCAAGTGCACGCCGCGCAACTCAAGACCGGCGAAGAAGTGGTGGTGAAGGTGATTCGCCCGGGCCTCAAGCCGATCATCGGCCAGGACCTGGCATGGCTGTTTATCCTCGCTCGCGCCGCCGAGCGTTTCAGCGCCGATGCACGCTTGCTGCACCCGGTGGACGTGGTCGCCGACTACGAAAAAACCATCTACGACGAACTCGATCTGCTGCGTGAAGCGGCCAACGCCAGCCAATTGCGGCGCAACTTCGAAGGCTCGCAACTGCTGTATGTGCCGCAAGTGTATTGGGACTGGTGCCGCCCTAAAGTGCTGGTGATGGAGCGCATCTATGGCGTGCAGGTCACCGACCTGGCCACCCTGGCCGACCAGCGCACCGACATGAAGATGCTCGCCGAACGCGGCGTGGAGATTTTCTTCACCCAGGTGTTCCGCGACAGTTTCTTCCACGCCGACATGCACCCGGGCAATATCTTCGTCAGCACCGTCAACCCGTGGAGCCCGCAGTACATCGCAATCGACTGCGGCATCGTCGGCAGCCTCACTCCGGAAGACCAGGATTACCTGGCGCGCAACCTGTTCGCCTTCTTCAAGCGCGACTACCGCCGCGTGGCGCAATTGCACATCGATTCGGGCTGGGTGCCGGCGGAGACCAAGCTCAATGAATTCGAAGCGGCGATCCGTACCGTGTGCGAGCCGATCTTTGAAAAACCATTAAAAGATATTTCATTTGGCCAGGTACTGATGCGCCTGTTCCAGACCGCGCGGCGCTTCAATATGGAAGTGCAGCCGCAGTTGGTCCTGCTGCAAAAAACCCTGCTCAACATCGAAGGCCTGGGCCGCCAGCTGTACCCGGACCTCGACCTGTGGAATACCGCGCAGCCGTTCCTGGAACGTTGGATGCGCGAGCGCATGAGTCCAAAGACCATGCTGGGCAACCTGCACAGCCAGTTCGAACAGCTGCCGCACCTGGCCAATATGACCCGTGACCTGCTTGAGCGCATGTCCCAACCCCACGCCAAAGACCCCGCGCCACCGTGGCAAAAACGCAAGGACGACTGGTTCCTGCGCCTATTGGGCGCGGCGCATCTGGTGGGTGGCGTGATGCTGGCGATCGGCGGGCCGCTAAACCAATTGGGCCATTGGCCGGCCGGGATCATGGTCGCCGTGGGTGTTTATCTGATTGTGCGGCGATAGCCGATCCAGTTATACACTGTTGCAAATTGCCGGAGCCGAACATGAAAGACTGGCTGGACGAAATCAAATGGGACAGTGACGGCCTTGTGCCAGCCATTGCTCAGGACTATAAGACCGGGCGCGTGCTGATGATGGCCTGGATGAACCGCGAGGCCCTGAGCCTCACCGCCGCTGAGCAGCGCGCCATCTACTGGTCACGTTCGCGTGGCAAACTGTGGCGCAAGGGCGAAGAGTCCGGGCATGTGCAGACCCTGCACGAGCTGCGTCTGGATTGCGATGGGGATGTCATCATCCTGAAAGTCGAGCAGATCGGCGGCATTGCCTGCCACACCGGCCGTCACAGCTGCTTCTATCGCGTGTTCGAGGACGGCGAGTGGAAAGTGGTCGAACCGGTGCTTAAAGACCCGCACGCCATTTACTCCGCAGGACACTGAACATGAGCGATACCCTGAACCGTGTGGCCCAGGTGCTGGAGGACCGCAAAGGTGCGGACGCCGACAGCTCCTACGTCGCCAGCCTGTACCACAAGGGCTTGAACAAGATCCTGGAGAAGCTCGGCGAAGAATCGGTCGAGACCATCATTGCCGCCAAGGACGCCCAGATCAGTGGCGACTGCAGCGATGTGATCTACGAGACCGCCGACCTGTGGTTCCACAGCCTGGTCATGCTCGCCCAACTGGGGCAGCATCCGCAGGCCGTGCTGGATGAACTGGA